AAACCTATTTTTAAAGATATTCATAAAAATCACAACACAAGAAAATTCCGCTTTCAATAGAAAACGGAGATCAGCTGTTATTTTGAGGCTGCCAAATATTTGTAATAGAAATTTTTACAAGCTTAGCCACATAGAAAATATTGCCAATATTTGGAACATTTGACAAACGGTAGAAATTTCGCTTGTGCCACGGCGAATTTATACAAGGTGGTATCAAGGCGAATTTATACAAGGTGGTGCAGAGAACATGTATTTACTGAGAAGATGCAAACAACAAATGGAAACTATTGAGTGTCGGAACTTAACAGATTTAGAAGGTTTTAACCACGGAATCCACTTTTTGCAGATTTTTTGGTGGTTGATTCTGTTAAATTCACTGTTAGCGGCACAAAATAATGTCTAGCAACATGTGTTAGGCCNGATCATAAAACACTGCTTAGGCGCTTAAATTTCAATGTGTTGTGTGGTGGATGCGCTAGAAGCACAAGATTATTTTCGCGTGCTGCATTTTTGCTGGGGATCAAATCCCTGTTGGAGAAATTTTTTTTCGTTTCTATTTTTTTAATGTAATTAAATTTTCCTTTTTTAATTTTATGTTGACCTTTGGGGTATATTTTATAAATTGATTTTTATTTATAAAATGTATGCATAAAAATTCCCATAAGAGGTCGGGCAGCGTAATATGCTTCGATGAAATTGTAGTTACGGAAAAATATTTCATAGCCACATACCTATATGTATTTGCGAAAAATTAATAAAAACTTTTTTGTAAATACTTTCAGTTTCAATTCATTTATTCAGTTGCATGTACATAATTTTTTCAATGATTTCGATTTTTTTGCCAAATATATATTTTTTAAAGATAAGTATACCAAAAAAGTGCTAAAATTGGTCAAAAAATATTTTTAATACATGTTCTCTGCAGATGACTATCCCATCGTTGTTGATCCGGTACCCACAAATCGCCATGTTGTCGAGTTTGTAAAAGTTAGGACCGTTAAAAACAAAATTAGTGAGTGAATACAATGGAATTAATTGTACAGGGGTCATTCCATGTAAAAGAGGAAAACAAAATAAATTTATATATGCCCTAATTATTCTATTTCAGTAGTAACCTCTTTTTAAATTACTACATTACATTAATATGTTGAAAATATTAAAAAAATGTAGTTGTAACTTTTGTCTATGGAAACTTTTATTTCATGCATAATTACTTTACATTAGTCACAAGGAGATGTCCCACCAGTCACAACGTTAAATATTTTTCAAGGAAGATTATACAAACCTAATTTTTATGGAAAACGAAAGCGTATACTTCATATTTTATAACACAAAAACGTCGTTCGTGAAAATTAAGTGTTTTGGCTAAAATTCATCTTTGAGTGCACAAGAGAAAAATAGAGTTATTTTCAGTGTCCTACCAGTCACAAATAATAGTTACATAAAACCAAGAAATCGTTTGGAATTTTTTAACAACTGACTGAGTTCTGGTCGCACCGGGCTTAGGTTAATGTGCTTGCAAAGTCATGAAATAAATGATGCAGAAAGTTACATGAACAAGTTTTTTCCGCTCTCTATATCTGGACTGCCACTCCAACTGATTCTCTAATAGCTCTTTTAGGAACTTGTATGCTGTTACAACATTGCAATTTCAAAAATAAAATCACCCTACCCTTTTCTTTGTGCGATTTCAATAAATATACATAGTATACGGGAGTACACGTTTTGCGTTTTTTATTATAAATATTATAAACGATAAATGGGCGTATAACTAAAAAATAATAATAGTATGTAAAGTAAATAATACGTTTGCTTTCAATTCTGTAAATTAGAGATTTTTCGACAATTTGTTTCAAGGTTTATGAATAACCCGAAATTTGCAATATTAAATCCGTAGAGTGAAAATTATTTTTAGCTACAATTCGTGGTTTCTTTCTTACATTTTTCGCAACTATACAAATGTATGTACATACATATGGAGACATGTATGTATGTATACATACAAAATACTAAACTCGATGCGGGCTTCAATTTCGATAATGCTGCAAATTAAAAAAATAGCTTTTTTAGGGCAAATAAACGCCATTCCATTTCTAAGCAAAACAAAACATGTTATTTAGGTTATAATGAGAAAAATAATTATTTATGTTGTAAATAAAATTATGAGTACAAAATCTCAGCAATAAGCTTCATTAGAATAAGATAAAATTCACCTCCATGTGAATCGTTGAACGGGCCACGCCCATATGTCTAATTATTTCTAATTTCCATTCCTATGGTGAACTATCATGTTACTAGTACTACATACATATGTATCATATTTATAACGGAATACATAAAGATTTACAAACATATTAATATTAAGCGCATTATCAATGTCAGTAAGAATTCTTCTTATTTATCTAACATACTGCGTTTGAGTGCCTCCTGCAAATCCATCTCAAATGTATCGGCTTTGGAGTAGTCAGAAATGAATTTTTCTGCGACTTTACCCCCATTTTCGCCAACAGCTCCACTCACTGCAGCAGCTACATCCGGATTTGTCACTTTAGATAAGGTTGTGACATTTTGCACTTTCAGTAAAGATGTTGCTCCTGATAAGTCTTTCGATGTTGCAGATAAGGGTTTGGAATCTTCGTTGTTTATTAAATTGATCGAGTTATTGCGAGCAGTAGCAAAATCGTTAGTAAAATTATGACTATCGCCAAATGCATCAAATTTCGCAAAACTATCGTCTTTAGTTGTCACGTCTGTGTCAAAATTAGATGCATTCGCATTGTTGTCTTTTGTCTTAAAGAAATCGTCTTCAAATGTGTTATCATTAAAATCGTCAAACACTTTTGAAGATTTTGTAACCGCTGAATTTCCTTTGGATGGTAAAGTGGAAGCGTCACCGCCTTTTGAAGTGCCAAAGGCATCAAAGGGGTAAAAATTCGTCTTACTATCACCGAAAGCATCGAAAATATTTGCATTTGCCTTGCTTGTGTTGCTTTTAGTTTTTGCGACGGGATTAGAATTTTTATCAAAGTTATCATTAAATGCATCGAAGAAAGAATCGTTTGCACTGGGTTTTGACTCCAGAGTTGTGTCACTTTTAAACGCTGCCTCCAGCTCTCCCAATGCTGACATCGTTCCTGTAGTTTGTGGTTTCTGGGCACCAAAGGCATCAAAATTAGCAAAGTCATAAAACAAACTGCTGGATTCAGCTCTAGCAAAACCGGCTGTTTCAAGTGGTGGTGTTGCACTTTTTGAATTCTTACTAGAGCTACTAATACTACTTTGAGCTCCANAGCCAAAGGCATCAAAGGGGTCAAAATTCGTCTTACTATCACCGAAAGCATCGAAAATATTTGCATTTGCCTTGCTTGTGTTGCTTTTAGTTTTTGCGACGGGATTCGAATTTTTATCAAAGTTATCATTAAATGCATCGAAGAAAGAATCGTTTGCATTGGGTTTTGACTCCAGAGTGGTGTTACTTTTAAACGCTGCCTCCAGCTCTCCCAATGCTGACATCGTTCCTGTAGTTTGTGGTTTCTGGGCACCAAAGGCATCAAAATTAGCAAAGTCATAAAACAAACTGCTGGATTCAGCTCTAGCAAAACCGGCTGTTTCAAGTGGTGGTGTTGCACTTTTTGAATTCTTACTAGAGCTACTAATACTACTTTGAGCTCCAACACTAACACCTAATCCTGTTAAACCTCCAGAAGTTGACGACTGTTGCGATGGTGCAGGACTGGAATTCAAATTGAATGCGTCGAATCGATCGAGAAATTCAGCACTAAGCGGAGTTGTGGATTTATTACTAGCACCCATTACTTGCGAATTGATAGTGCCAGCTACAAGCACTGTACTGGTCGTTTTTGTTTTATCATCGTCTAAAATAAAAAAAAAAATTCAACGGATAAGTATTTTGAATGGCATCAAGTCTAAGATAAGCACTATTTAGTTACAAATGTAAGTACATATGTATAAAAGAAAGCAAGTCGTCATTAATTGCTTAAAAAAATATCACCTGACAAATCGTCCTTGAAAACCTTCTCTGGATCAGTATCAATATCCTCATCATCTGCAAATGGGTCTTTAATACTAAATGGATCCTCATAACGATAGTCTTTGAACGGGTCATCAGAGAAATCTGTTGGTCCGCTAATAATAGATGCGCGGCTTCCGCGCGCACTTACGCCTGCCCCCACGGTCGCCGATTTGCTGCCTGCCCCCACGGTCGCCGATTTGTTGCCGAATAACGACGTTACTGCGGACGCCTGTTGCAGCGGTGTGATNTGTTCAACGGATAAGTATTTTGAATGGCATCAAGTCTAAGATAAGCACTATTTAGTTACAAATGTAAGTACATATGTATAAAAGAAAGCAAATCGTCATTAATTGCTTAAAAAAATATCACCTGACAAATCGTCCTTGAAAACCTTCTCTGGATCAGTATCAATATCCTCATCATCTGCAAATGGGTCTTTAATACTAAATGGATCCTCATAACGATAGTCTTTGAACGGGTCATCAGAGAAATCTGTTGGTCCGCTAATAATAGATGCGCGGCTTCCGCGCGCACTTACGCCTGCCCCCACGGTCGCCGATTTGCTGCCTGCCCCCACGGTCGCCGATTTGTTGCCGAATAACGACGTTACTGCGGACGCCTGTTGCAGCGGTGTGATGGAACGCGTTAAATGATCATTTACAGACGAGGACGTAGTAGATGAATTATTGGAAATGTTTGCAATTGTCGTTAATGTAGACACTGAAGTTGATGGTGATGAGCTTGAAATTGATGCGGATGTCGATGCCAATGTGGATGTGACTGATGTGGTACTCTTAACGTTTGCGCTTGGAGTTGGGGTGCTGATGTCAAATGAACTACTGCTGCTGCTGTTGTTTGTACTGTTAAGTGACACGAATGCGGATGGTATTTGTGGGGGAAATACTGTAGGCGGTGGAATGCTCGAGACCTGAAGCACGAGCAAATAGCAGTTTCATTGTGCATGTGCGAACAAAATGGATACAAATGAAAATAAAAGAAACAAAAATCAACTCACAGTAAATAAGATAAATGAAATAATATATTATCTATAATAAATAAAAAATGAGAGAAAATAATAAATGTGCATAAAGAAATTTAAAAGCAATCATCGTTCAAAATTAAAATAAATACTCAAATGAGTGATTTATATGTACAGTTGTCCACAAAATAATAGGAGTGGGATATTTTAACCTGTTTTGGCTATTTGCCTTTAGTTTATTTAATGTTTCGTATTTTTTTGTAAAAGCCTAGCTGGTAATACAACAAACACCATATAAATTTACATTTTCAAGTTTGTACAAAAATTATAAAAATTCTGCAAATTTTCACCAAAATTTCAAACTATTTAACCAGAATCTTTAGAAAATATGTTGGTATGCAGTTTTGTAGCCCATTCAATTCTAGTCTGAAGAAGTTCAAGTTTCAAGCTGCTAAAAAATTNTGTACATATGTATTTACATTTGCATACAAAGAAGATTTAAATTAAAATACGAATAAAATTACTACATACATAAACAAGCCTTATTTTCTAAAAACAACGGCATAAATCCGCTTCATATATGTATTTTTATATGTATGCAAGTACATACTTACTTCTGCACAAGTCTACTTACGCTCACAAGCGATGTTCATATTTGCATATGTAGCATTACGAATATAACCAAGTTACTAAAGCTTAGATGACTTTTAGAAGACTATGCCAATAAAGAAACGATCTTTATAATAGCAATTCCATTTCCTAGCAAGATTCGATGCCATAAGAAAATATTACAAAGAGACACCCTTGCACTAAATTCTTTCAGTTATTTTATTAGTTTTCTTATTATTTGGTGAAATGTTACTATCGATTGTATTTTATAGATCATTGCCAACATAATAGTCATAAGTTTATTTTAATAATAATTCCATATTCTGCACAAGTTTTCATATTCTTATGCAGACATTTTTTTATTTAATTTTTTCTCTCTTTATTTTTACTATATTTTCTGTTCAATATGCGGCTATAGTTCGTTTTGTAACATACAATACAATACAATAATAAGTAGTAAACGCCTTCAACGCTTAGATAGATTCTTGCTTACACATTTAACGTAGTATTTGGATGCGATAGGTATGGAGGAGTGTATTATTTATGAAAGCGCACTGTGCCTTACGATAATATACATACATATTAAGTGTAATTTTTATGAACATGTGAAAACATTGCTAAATATGGTTTAAGTTTTTATATGCAGGAATCTTAATTTGTACAGTTTTATTAAATATGCATACATACATATATGAGTATTCAAGTTACTACATGTTTGTAGGTGCGCGAAATTTAATGCTTTCAACGTTCTCAATTCCGAGATAATGCTAATAACTTGGTAACATACATACGTACATATGTATGTATAGGGCCATATGAAAGGTCTCTGCGGATTTTTGTCACTACTATGTGCTATTGATGCTGCAACATCTGGCCATACTAATCCAATTGAGTAAATCTGAGGTGCCTTCGAAAGGTAACATTTCAGGCTACATTTTTAGTATTTGTACAAAAAGTAATATTGATTTGAAAATGAGCGAACATCTGAAGAATATGATGCTTTGATACTATAAACAGTTAAAAAAAAAAAGTTTTTAAGAAAAGCTTTTATTGGTGGTTAGTATAAAAATAAACATCGAAGCCCGCACTACCCAACGGCTAAATTTTTTTGGAGTTATTTCTTATAATTTAATTAAAATAGGTTCAGGATATGAAAAATATGGACCTTAAATACGGATTTTCCAAATATCTGTCCTCCCGCGTCACCTATCGACCAACACTTATTGTGGAGTTATTATTTTTCAAGTAAGTAATATACATTCCAAATATTCAAATATCTAGACACCTGCGCCACCTGGCGAATTAATTCATCTTTCATATTGCATTGTCATCGGGTGCTGAACCAAGTTTGATGCTTCAAGTCTCTAGCTCTCCGGGAAGTTAGTTAAAATTAATTGCGAGATTTGATTACACACAGGTGTAACAGGTGAGTAAACGCCGGACCCAGAAGTGGTTTGCTCGATTCCGCAGCGGAAATTTTAATGTCGAAGTTGCATCAAAGAACGTAGATAACAAGATGGGACAACTCGTTATAAAGGGTGAACACATCAAAACTGCAACACTTTGGGAAGCTTATAACTTACCCAAAAAGATTTAAATATTTTGAAATTCAAATACCATAAGCTGACCATGACCTTAGTTGGACGNGTCAAGAGTTGCGTTCCAGATGCTTCACGATTTGCAGGTTTTTACAGGAAGTCGTTCCAGGTGACCACCTTCCATAAGGTTTATTAAAAAAAGAGTGCTCGGAAGGTCCTCAGTGCGTTTTCGCGAGATCCTAAGGTTTTGTCGCGTTATGTTGCAAAATCCGTACGGAGATCGCAGTTTTTCGTACAAAAGGTAAAGCGGAAAGCTTCATTGAGATGTTCTACAGCTCAAACAGCGCCAGACCGAGGCGCAAAGTAGAATGTTACAGCGAAATCCCGCAGTCGGAAGTTGTATGAATTATAAATTAAAAAATACAACTGCATTGTTATGGACTACGAAACCTACTGCTTTAAAAATTAAAAATATATTGCAGGTCAAGATTTATATACTGCTGCAAGTCGTCAAAATGCCCTTGAAAGTTGTAAGCTGAAATTGAAGTCCAAATTTCAAAAAAAAAAAACAACATGGTTTGGCAAGCTATTTGTTCCTGTGGCCGTAAGAGCAGCCCTTTCTCCCCACCCGGGACAATTCGGCCGTAAAAACAACAATTATAAGTTAAGAACAAGATGAAATAGGTTTTAAAGGAAGCAATTCAGCTTGTATTTTGCATCGTGATGGATATTGGTATTGAAGTTGAGATAAGCGCGTTACATTTGTTACATTTTAAAACTTACACAGAGAATCGAAATTGTGTAATTAGGGGATAGTTGAAACGCAATATAAAAACAATGAAATATCGTTTGAAAAAAAACTCATATCGGTTATATAAAAAAAGAAGGTATCCCTCTCATCGTCAGTCTTTCAGACCGTGAAATTTTTTGCTACCATACCCCATAGCTAAATTCATTCTCGTTTTATATTCTTTTTTTTTATTTAAAAACATCTTGTAGTTAAAATCGATCTTGAAACAACAAATCGATTGCAAAAATGTTCCGCAACTGAGTAATATTCACTTCCCTCGAAGTTATGTGTCCTGGATTTCAAAATAAATTCCTTCAATTACAATATCGAGAGAAAAAATCTAATTACACATCGAAGTGCTTAACGATTTTAAGGTCAGAATAATATGAAAAATAATCGTGTTCTATACCGGAAACAGCCACAGCCCTGGCTTTTCTGGCCCGACACGAAATACTAGTCGCGGATTTTTTACTTCCATTATAAACTAAATACATATGTAGCGTAGGGTGGTCCCTAAAATCAAATCAACGATTTTTTTCAGTCTCAACCCCTCAATCGGTAATACCACGCCCCTTGTGCGACCTTCTAAAATTGGGACGATTTTGTGTATAGCTGACGCACAAGAAATGGCTAAGAAAATTTCTTGTGGCAAATTTTCTTAAGGCAGTACGCAGTTCTAAAGAAGTTTGCTAATGAAAATAATGGCAAATTTTTTCTTGACCGTCGTTTTCTTGAGAGCTGGATACTAAGCTTATTAGATGAAAAAATGTTAATTTTAATTTTTTGGGATCTCCATAGAGGAATCTGAACCTGTGCGGAACGCCTTAACTGCCTCAAATCGGGACCAAAATTTATATGTGATATCTTCGACTGTAGTAGCATAGACGTAAGGGTTGAGGCTTAGGAACTTTGATATACAATTTTGCTAATGTAGCTATGTACATTGTGAAATCATCAACGACATGAAGAGTCTAAAGATTTTTAAAATTTGGTCATTAAATTTATGAATAAAAAAATTAATTTTTCGAGGAATGTTTATCGAATTGAACATAAAATTTTTCAAGATAAGATAGTAGTTACGTTTTAAATTTAAATTTTAATATACATAACTATGTTATATACAATGGCTCAAACAAGTGTTCACATATTGATATTTATTTTAAATATTCACAATGTTTTTCAAGTTAAATTTTTTTGTCTTCTTTTCATCGGAGAAGGAGCTCGGCCAAACACTAACATATTGCGTAAGCGCTAATCTATTATTAATTGTTATATAAAAAAAACGCAAAAGTTGGCATTAAAAAAATATTGAGGCGTGTTCTTGTTTTCGTACGAATCGAAAATCATGAAATTTTCCTATCATTTTCTATACAAAAATTTCAAATTTTCGATTCGTACGAAAACAAGAATATGCCTCATTAATAAAAAGCAACGCGAACTGCTAACCCAAATAAACTCTAACTGTCCAGTTTAAAAGGTTCGGAATTTTGATGAAAACTTTGTATAAAGTTTAGAACTTTGATTTATATAATTTTGCTTGAAGCGTGAACAATATTTTTATAAAAAAAAATATAAATTAAATTTTTATTTGCAAAACATTGTGAATATTTAAATAAAAACAGCATATAAACCAGGGCTTCTGAGCAAAGAGCTGAAAAATGCATTTGCTCCTTAGCTTCTTAAATACAATTTCAGTATTTTGTTTTTGTTATTTTCTGCCCTAGTAACGATATAAAAAAATTTCAGTTAATAAACTTACTTAAATTATTATTTTTTGCCACTGAAAACAACAGTGTTAAATAAATTTCCTCTTTTTAAATGACTAAATATATTTCATGTTGAAAAATATTAAAGAAAGTAAAAAGAAGTTGTAATTTTTTCTCAGGGGTCGTCCCTCGGCAGGTAATGGCAAACCTCCGAGTGTATTTCTGCCATGAAAAACAGCTTCTCATAAAAATACAATCGCCGTTCGGAGTCGGCGTAAAACTGTAGGTCCCTCCGCTTTGTGTGACAACATCAAGGCGCACGCACAAATCGGAGCAGAAGCTCGGCCAAACACTAACATATGTGTAAACGCCAATCTATTATTATTATTATTAAAATCTTCATGTGTTTTTCCATTGAAAAAATTACAACTTCTTTTTACTTTCTTTAATAT